AATGAGTCTCGTAAAAGAAGGCTGCAAAGACATTTCGTGTTCCTAAATTAGCTTCTGTTGTTTTGGTTTTCATCCCTTGTTAACTTTCAATTGACTCCCTTGTTCGTTCTTAGGCCACTTCCGTCTTATGCAATTCATGTTCCCTTTCTTGTTAGCTCTAATTTGTGTGAATCATTCACTTGGTATTTTCGCATTATATGCTTAAGTTTTTGCTAAAATGTGCAGATACCAACAACACGCGCCATATCTCCCAAGCTTGGAAGAACTAAGAACTCCACATCCATGACTAATAGCTCCGAAAGTGGAGGGTCATGTTTCAGTCCAAAAGTGATCAAGGAACAACGTAAGTCACTCGTATCCAATAAAGAGAATGTTGCATCAAAAGGGAAGCCAGTTAAGACTTCACAGACAACTGCTCAGTCTCCAAAAGCCTCGATCACTAAAGTGAAACCTGCTGAAACAAAATCAAGACTTGCTGAAGCAGCAAAGATTTCGGATGAGAAAACAGAACAAAATGAAATCCAACCTGAGTCTGAAATGAATTGTGTAGAAGACAATGTGGCACGTCCATCAAATCCAATCGTCGTGCAAGCTGAAGTCAGCGTTGAAGGTTAATTATGAACTTACTGAAGTTGTCTTTTTTCTGTATTTATTTATCTATTTATAGGCCTTTTTTTCGTTCTGTGAAAGCGTTTTTGTTGCTTCGTTGAGTTGTGAATATGTTGCTGTTATGTTACAAGTTGTACATGTTGGTTATTCTCAGTTTCTTCATTCTTTTCGAATATTTCAGTACCATCGTGTAATCATTCTCGAAAAACTTCTTCATTGTTCTTAAATCAGATTCAACATTCTGTTTTTCTTCAAATGTATCATTCTGAACTTTTATTCTGGTTTTGCTGAGTTCATTATAGTTGTCATTTCCCTACCTACTTCCTTACGGGGCGGAGCTACATTATGTATATATAGCAAATGTTGAATCTCATTGGCTTCTTCGTGTGTTTACTTCTTTATGTTGAACTCTCTTAACGAAAATTTTGACTCCGCCATTGCTTATTTTGTTAGAATGGTTGGATCACCATGTTATGTCTGATTATTCTACTGAAAATGTGATTCTGCAGTAAATTTGAGTTTGCACCAGGCAATCTTTCTTCTAAAATTTTGGCATTTCATATACTGCTATGTTTTGACACGGAGTATAAATTTTTACATGAAAAACACCAAACACGCATGGTGGTCAGTGGGACCTTAGTTAGAGCCCATATAATGAGTTCAGTTCTAAGAGTCTTAACAGTTGAAATCCTGGATTCAACTCTGTATACCGTAGGAGTTAGTAGGGGCTGCCTGCTGGCTAGTGATAGAGACTAGAAAGACATGACATGATGAAACTCAGAACATACCGGGCCTAACTTATTTTATATAATATTAAACAAAGATGAGCTTAAATAGAGCAATATAAGCAGTAAAGATAGCAAAAACTCATTTATACTCGAGCTTAAACAAAAATGACTTACTTAATAACATCGCTTAAATTATGATTTCACCTCTAAAATTATTAAATAGACATATAGGAAGTGGCCATATGCATATATTCTCAGAGATACATAATTGTGAAACTCAGATACATTTTGAAATTTAGATAGGGAGAGAGCGGGGAAAGAAAGGGAAGCAAGAGAGTCATGTATCATAATTCATACATACATACTAATCAGACTTGTATATAATGTATCTGGAACAAATCAAACCTGATTTGATTCGTATATTGGAGATATATTCAAACTAAATATGTTTTTGTTGAATCAGATTAAAGTGGTAGACATAATTAAAGGCCTTTCCAGGATATATGGGTCCATAAAAGGAGATAAATCATATTACTAAACGAATATTTTGTTGCCATAAATTCAATCAAGATGCTACTCAATTTTCCAATTTTAGAATTTATTAATTAGAGCAAAGTAAGATTCTTTTATTCTTTGTTCCTGTTTTAATATCATATGTAAGTTGCTGAAATTATATATTGCTGTCGTGATTTTTCTTGAACAATCATAACATCAATACCCATAACTAAGGTATTTGTAGTCTTTAAGAGCGATAATTACAAACTTGTTTCATAATATATCGTATCGCATTATATTGTATTATGTTATATTGTATCGTATTGTATTGTTTTAATGAATACATTATTTAAATAGATTGTATCGTTCTTCATCGTTACATAATGTCACACATTCATAATTTGAATGATAAACCTACAAGAAAAGTAGGATACGGGGTAGAGCTTACTATAAAAAGGTAGGATAAAAGAGAAATTATGATTATTGAATACTCCCTCCGTCCACTTTTAATTGTCATAGTTTCCTTTTTCAGCGTCAAATAATAAGAACTTTGACCAACATTTTACGATGTATTTTTTTTTCATATTGATATGCAAATTTGCAATTTATAGTACTTTCCGTAGAGTTTTTGAATATCTATTTTTTTTGGTTTAAAATATCAAATTAATATAAGCTAATTTAACTTTGAAAATTAGTCAAATTGACTTTTGAAAAATGCAACATGACAATTAAAAGTGGACGGATGGAGTAATAAATAAAGACAAAACAAGAAGAAAATATTAAGTTAATAACATGATCACACCAAATCGGTCATTACATAAAATGGGGTCTTTCATCGTTACCTAATGATGGATTTAAACTATACGATACAATAGAATTTAAGTAACAATCAAAACAGACATTATATTTAAACTAATAAAACAATACAATACAACACATCAAGTAATAACCATCCAAACAAGGTGTAAGAGTAAAATGAAAAAAAAAAAACATTTTTCACTTGAACTTTTGAAACAACAAATAATTTGAGATAACTATTTGAAAAATCACGACAAATAATTTGAGACAGGGAAAGTGTTTCTCCATATATGTGTGTGTGATTCATTTAAATTAAATTAATATTTTGCTGCTATAAGATCCGTGGAACGTTCCAAAGCACATGAAATGATAAAATGTTCAGTATAACAATTCTCCTCCTAATCTTCTTTATTAATCTAATCAAACATAAAAATTAATAAAGTCAATGTTTAGTGTTCAATTGCCCGTTAGTCCCCACATTACTTGATTAATTTAAAATTATAAATCAGATCAATAACTTACAACATGTAATTAATTGTTTATGGTAGGCTTAATTTGGTAGTTTTTAAAATTAAAGTATATTAATAGTGGAAAACATTTTTTAAAAAGAAATAGGAAAAGATGAGAGAGATTGATATATACATTATTATTGTTGGGTTTGAACCCTCTACATTGCAACTATGGAAGGCAAGGTGTTCATAAGAGATTCCATTACGAGGTTCGTTCGTGATTCGTGAAGTAAAAATTTAAAATTAAGCTAGAAAATATCATCGATAAATAACAGGTGGATATTCATGTACTATCGTTCTACCCCTTTGTTGGAGCCTTTAGTCCCAACACTTTGTTATGTTGTCAAAATCCTTGTTTTTGTACAATTAAATAATTTCATATGAAAGCCAACTCAATTTCCCTTCCCCTTTTAATGTGAATAATCATTAACCTAATCACCATTAAAATACATACATATATAAAATTAATCAAAATGGATTTCCCAACAAACAAATGTCGGCTGCTTGTTTTTAGTCTTATTACTATAAAAAAAATTATATTCCAATTATTGGCATTGTTCTCTTTCCTCCCTCTTTCTTTATAAATAAAATAAAGTTGTACTATATAGTAATGCTTAATAATACACAATTTCCTTTTTTGACAATATATCACATTACATTGGTGTAATTAAGTTCTACACCATCGCCCTTGCTTCTTTTTACCGACTAATTTGAATTTATGTCGAAAAGTCTCATTTCTGTATAAAAAAAATTAAATTCAAAATTTCTTATTATAAATATATATTAGAAAAATATTTATCACTCTATCATAAGATACTTTTTATATTCATTTACTTGTTCAAACAATCGAATAAGTGTTTTCCACTCAACACAATCATTTAAAAGGATTCTTATTTTAAAGATAAAATATATTTCTCTTCAATATTGCTTTAAGAAAGGTAAGTGAATTTTAGAACACACACACACTAAAATATAAAGCACATTCATTAAAATACTAAAAAATGTAGAAATATAGTTAATTCACAAGTTATGGTATCAAAAGTACCAAAACTGCCAATTCACATCGTGTAGACACATGACATTTTATAACAATTTACATCCTAAGTATATTTGAATTTTAAAGATTTTGTTGTTAAATAAGATAGTGGAGAGACCCCTTCTCATAGGCAGAGGAAGCTCAATAACTTTACGATACAGAAGCAATGTTATAATTAGAGTCTTATTTGTTTTAATATAATCACAACTTGAAATTCTACACAAAAGCACCATAGGAAAGGGCATCTAACCAGATCGAGCATTAAATGAGAGAACTAGAGTCGGGAGCCACATAAATAGGCATGATAGAATGAAAAAAATGTCTTGACTTGAGTCCCTATACCCCTTCCTTTTAGGTAGGAAATCCACACATAATACATGTATGTCAACTTATTCAATTTTATATAAGTTTAAATATCTACTTGTGAATACACAAAGCTGAAAAACATAAATATCAACTAAGACCAAATAAAATAACATATTTATATATCAACCTATATTTTATTGACTCCCTTTATTTTCCTCATGTCTATTTTTTTAATATCATAAACTCTTTAGTAAAATTTATGACTCAACTACTTGACAATATATATAACTTAAACTTTTTTTTAAAAGATATCTTTCTCTATACACATTACCTTTAAAGAAAGGCAAGTGAAGTTTAGAACCCCACACTAAAATACAACCCACATTCATTATATTATATCATATTATTATATATATATTAAAAGAAATGTTAAAAAGTATAGTTAATTCACAAGCTATACTATTATATGGTATAAAAAAAAAGTGAAAAAAATAAACAAACCATCCGTGACAAATGTGAGTACAAAAAAGATGATATGCTCTTGCACGATTATTCTTTTCTTTTTTTCCTTTTTGGGGTACATTTTTTTTTTCTTGGATACAAACACTGTCGGCAGAACAAAAAAACAAACTTAAATACAAATGAAAAAATTGATAGGTAATTACAGTATTTATAACAAAATAAAACAAAAGATATTTTCTCCCTTCTCTTGCTTCTTTTTTTTCTACTTCAATTCCAAGCATTTTTGTCCTTCCTTGCCCATTTTATGTTTTATCATATGATCACATAAGCCCTCTTAATAACTGAAATTTATTCAAAAAAAAAAATTGTAAGTTTTTTATTTATTTATGGTCCCAATTTTATTTTATTTTCTAATACTACATATATTTTGAGACACTCACCGTGCTTTTTTTCATTTCTTTATCTTCAGTAATTTCCCATTGTACAAATTTTAATGACAACTAGCAAAAGCAAATGACCCCATTGTACCACATACTACTTCCATCAACTTTCCTGCAACACACAAAAAAGAGTGGTGACAAAAATGTTAGCCAACTCATTAGGAATATAACTTGCTTCTTTTTTTGGTTTCCGAACCAGTGTCCAATATTAGAGTCTGACTAAATCTAGAATAGCTCTCTAATAAAGGTGACTCTATATCAGAACGACTCAAACTTAAGACGTCTGGTTAAGGATGAAAGAGTACTTACTGGTCCACTACTGACGCTTGTTGGTTAAGTAAAGAAGATGTCAAGAATTGAAAAAAAGATTGAAACTTTACTATTTAAATAAGAAAATTAAGGTTGAAAATGTTAATGTCAACTTTAAAACAAGAGATAACAATTGATGACAGCTGATAATGCAAGTTTATAATATAATAAATAAAAGAGCAGGTGGGGTTATGTTTAAGTCAACAAACAGGCTGGTCTTGATGTCTCTACAATGAAGTTAAGTATAATCATTGAGTTATACAGCTATGTTTCACAAATACTGATATGGAATTTTAGAATTATGTCACACCATAGATTTGGTTTTTTTTCTTCATAATTGTGGTGTTTGAACCAACTTACACGCATCCTCTACTGTTCTATTGGAAACTTACTATTTCCCACAAGTACAGATAACTCTGTCCATCGAGACTTAGGCCAAAGGTAAAACTCACTTGACAACACCCTTGGTAAAGATTTAGCTTAGTGATTAAGAGTTCAACATGATAATCATTACCATTTTGCCTAAGTGATTAAGGCCTAATCAAGAATACCCTTTCTCATGATTCAACTGCTAAAGTTCCTAAACTAAAAGCTAAAACTAACTCCATTTAATGATGTTTTGGATAATCATCACATCAAGCAAAGAACAACACCCCAACCCCCTCACCCCACTCACCCCCACCCCCTTTCTTTAATGACTCACCGACAGATTCTATACACCTACTATCTACTAAAACTATTTGGCAGTGTCTAAATAATATGGAATACTAATTACTTGCCATGCCAACCATCTTTGCCTTCTTGTAACCAAAAGTAATGAAAACTAACTAATCAATATAAAAATATAATGATGATAATGAAATCTTAACTCTTAGGACTTTGCAAAGCAATTGAGAATACCAGAACATTAAGAAAAAATTTAATAAAAGATAACATGTTCAATCATGTGCAAAAGTTAGTTAGATACGTAGCTTAGGTTCTAAGTGCAAGTATTCAACCAGCAAAAAAAAGCTGGAAACAACAAACAAAGTGGCCTCAAAGAAAGGCCTAACTCCACAATTTTTCATGATCACAAAAAATACTAAAGAAAGACACAATTTTTAACCTCATCTTCAGCTATGTTTTCAAGAATCAAGAATTCAATACTTATCAATTAGTAAAAGATCAAGTAGTAGTTTGTGAAAATAGAATTCATAAGAAAGACACAATCTTTAAAATCAAAGTTGCAAAATTTACAACAAAAAATTAGCCATTAAGAACTCCACACACATCAATAATAACCAAAATTCATGAAAGATTCAATCTTTAACATCAAAAGAACAAATTAGAAAAGAAAACATCAGAAAATAAGGTTAAAACCTCACTTAATCCTCATTTCCAGAATTTTACAGAATCAAGAACTACAAAACTTGTGTGCAAAAATGTCAAAAACTCCATCATGGAACTCACATCTATGTTGCTCGGGCTCTTCAAAAGTGTCGAACAGGTACATGTCGGATACTCCAAAAGTCGTGCATTTTGAAGAATCCGACACGGGTATGGCAACAATTTTGGAGCATCCAAGCAACATAGATGTCTCACATAACTATCCATAATTTATATTTTGATAATAGCTAATCAACCAAATGCATTGAATTCAAGAAACAACAATCACACCAACATATCAAAAATCCAAATAAGCTAAAGGGTAAAAAAGTTTAGAACTTTTTTTATACCTCTTCTTGGCTTTGCAACAACTTTAGCAACAGGAGCAGCTATAGGAGTAGCCTTAATTTCCTCAAGAGGGAACAAAACACCATCAACCCCTTGCACAGAGATTCTTCCATCAGTATAAATATCAGGATCAACCAAATAAGCTGATCCTTCGCCTTGCCCGAATTTCACTGAACCGTCAGCTTCTTCAGCCACAACTTTATGTGGCAACCTTAAAGTATCATAATTAATTTTACCAAATCTCCTCACTGAATTATACATACTTTCCTCCGTTTGATACTCCGGTATCAAATGGTAATACATTATCTGTTCTGGCGCCCCAGGCTCGCTAAGCTGATCAGTCGTCAGCTTAGCCATAGCCTCGTCATTGGGCGCCAGAACAGTTAAAACATACCCTTCAGAAACCAATTTCCCCATTTCTGTAGCTAATGATGTGAGATTCACAAGAATGTCTGCTAATTCATTGTAACCACCATAATGTAGGAGTGTTTGAATGAAATCTTTTACTTGACTCTCACCATCGAAGTGATGGTGGGGTCCTCCGGGTCCTGGAGCTGGTGCTGGGGCCAGAGATGGCCCCGGCGCCAAAGCATCGTATACCGGCAGCACAGGTGGTGCGCCGGCTGGTACTGCTACGGGCTTCTTCAGCCGGTGGGTTCTCGGGTCAACTTCCGGTGCTCCCTCCGGAATCACGGCGGAGATTGACCGGAGACTACGGCGGTTGTTGAAATCTTGCTGGACTGATTTGGGTATTAAAACCCGCTCAATCCCGTGGATAATTCCGTCGGGTTTAACAATATCGTCTTGTTTAATAATCTTAGCTGAGCTGACTGATTTCTCTGTTTTCTTCTCGGAAATTTGAAGGACATTTTCTTCTCCGGCGTATAAAGTGGAGTGAACACGGCCACGCGCCGGCCAATTTTTCGATACAATGCGAGTGGGAATCATGTGAAACAACAAGAGATTCTGTAGAGATTTGAGATTTCCAGGTTCAAGCAAGAAACGCTTGAATTCAGGGTCTAAATCACGTTCCAGAGCTTCATTTTTAGGAGCAAAAATGGTGATATTGTGCTTAGAAACAGCTTCTTCAAGTGTTTGAAGCAAAAGGGCTTTTTCAACAAGCTCAGATAACTCAGTATAGTGAGAATCCAAAAGGGCTACAAGAATGGAGTTGGAATTGATTTGGGGTACTGTTGAAATTGGGGATTTTGGGTTTTCTTGAAATGTGGCACCTGTAATGGTGAAAAAGAGTGTAATGGTGAACAAGAATAGATTAGTGAAGCCATAGATCTGAAAATCCATGGCTAAAGATTCAAGCTTTCTCTCTCAATTCTCTTGTTTCTCTCTCTTGTTCTTGGAGAGTGTCGGTAGAACAACGTGTTATGTTGGGTTGAGTGAATTTGTGGGTGTTATGGACTTTGGCTTTGTTGTTAGTAAAGAAGGGGGGAAATGGCAAGTGTGTAGTAGTAGTTGTTTGGTGGAAATAATAAAGTATTAAAGGGAAAAGGAGGGTCAATGTTCGATATCCGGTATCCGCATTAAAGTCTGATTAAATTTGAATTCAGATAGAAAAAAATTATATTTGAGGGTCAAGGCACTCTTGGAAACTCTAACTTAAAACCTATAGTTAAAGATGAAGGAATACGAAAAAAGAAGGGTCAATGTTCAATATTTAGTATCTGCATTAGAGTCTGACTAAATTCAAATTTACGTCGAAAAAAATTATTTTGAGGTAAAGGGGGGTTCTCTATAAAGGTGACTCTGTAAATAGGAAACTCCAAGTCAAGATCTCTGATTAAAGATGGAATACTTACCATTCGATCACAACCAATATTGAAAGGAGGGTCAATATTCAGTATCCAATATCAGTATTAGAGTCTGATTAAATTTGAATTTATGTCAAAAAAAATTCATATTAAAGGTAAAGGTCTTCTGTGAAGGCGAGGCGGCTCTATACATAAGAAATTCGAAATCAAGACTTCTGGTTAAAAATGAAGAAGTATTTACTACTCGATCACAATTAATATTTGGGTGGGTCAAGGGTTATTTTCTATTTTCTCTCTGTTCTGTCACTCATGTGTGTTTGGAATTGCAGGCTTTGGCTTCAAGTGAAGACACAATTTTTTAAATTTTTATTCTTTTTTGGGTAATTAGATTTGTTGAACTTTTGACTTCAAAGTTTTTATGCACATAGAAATGCTAGCTAACTGGAAAGTTCAGTTTTATTTGTTGGCAATGATAATGATATATATTACTACTAATACCTAATTTCAGGTCTGAATACTTTATGATACGTGTAATATACTAATTCTTGTAATAATTTTACTTGATATAATTCCTTAATTTAGAGTAAGCATTGTAATAGTAATGTTGGTGAGCTTATATTTGTCTATTGATTTTGTAGTTCTTTATAAATTTATATTTTCTTGATAAAATATTTTTATTTTTTATATATATGAAATACGAAAATAACATAAAAATCTTTGTAGTATGATTTTTTTTTACATTCAAATTGTAAAATATTACGTTCACTAATTACCTAACCTATATCTAGTCCAATACCTAGGTATCTCTTAATGTTGTTAGTAATGTTAGTAAAAAAAATTAGAACTTATAATGTTAGATTATCATTAGAATGAATGAAGACAAAATATACTATACGCATATCTTATTCTTATCTATATTTATAAATATTGTAAATCGTCTCTTTATCTTCTTGAGGTAAGAATAAAATTCGCATAGAATATACTCTTTTAAACTTTATGAAACAGATTACATTAGGTATATTGTTAATGCAATTATGGCTCAACAAAAAAATGAGAGGTGTGATTCCATTATAATCAATTAAATGTTAGAGATTAATATATGAAACTACTAGAAGGAAGTGGGGAGGTCTTGCTTTAAAGTTTAAAAAAGGGGTGGACATGACGACATGTGGAGAAAAGAAATAAAATGGAGCAAATGAAAAATGTGAGTTATTCTATCCAACTGTGACGAAGCAATAAGTATTTCTTCATTTTTAATCAGAAATCTTGAATTTGAGTTCTGAATACAAAATCGTCTTTATTAGAAAGCATGTTATCCTCCCTTCTCAACGTAAATTCAAATTTAATCAAAAACATTAATATAAATATCAGATATCGGACGAAATTTAAGTTAAAGTAGTTGGTTGGCTCCATAAGAAGAGGAAGAAGGTAAGAGGTTTCATTTGTTGTTTTTAGGTTTTATTTTGGGCAGCCTGTAAAATGTGGGCCACGCGACGGGTGGGCGATAGTCAATATTCATTGCATTAAGCTTACGCTTAGCTGCCTTCTAATTTATTTTTTTTGAGTTTAAGTCACTCGCTCGATGTTCGGTATATATATTTTAAAGCTTACAGAAGTGAATTTAAAATTTTATATAGTTAATCTCTAAGGTTAATAATGTTAAATTCATTGTAATTTTAAAGTTATATATCTTAATATAATGTATTCAATGTATATCTTGTAAATAAAGGATTGAAAAAGATAAGATGTATCCAGATTTTATTCCTATTTTATATGGTGAAAAAGTAATTTTGATAATTTTTTATACATAAAATTTATATTTTTGTGCAGAAAATACTAAATTATATGAACATTTACGAGCTAAATCCGACCCTGATTATTCAACTAGATAGGAATTCATCTAAAAAAAATCACATTGAGATAAATCGTTTCTTAATAGAGGAAAATATATACCTAAGATTTGAATGTGAAACATACATTGAGATAGTATATAACATATAGGTTATGTTGAATCAGTAATTCTTATCTTAACTCTATATTTATATTTTTTTTAAAAGTAAGTTACAATTCAATTACAAGTTTAAGTGGTGTTTTAAATTATAAACTCCATAAAATTTAGATTCTACTGGTATATTCGTCCCAAAATCTCCTAATTAAAAATAAAAAAATATTTACTACTCTACCGTAATCTTTAGAGGTCATTTGGTTCAAATCAAAATGTCTCAAGATTATAATTCTCAAATTAAAATTGAGATTATAACTTAGTTTATACACCAACTATATAAGATCAACAATTTGACCTAAAAATAATATATATTATAAACAATATCTTAAATAAAATATCTAAATAATTCACCTAATCCTTTCTCTCTTTTTTTTCTTTTCCCTTTTTTTTCCCCTATTTTTTGTTGGGTTTTGGAGTTTGTTGGTCGGTGTTCTCTCTATAGGATATTCTTATTCTTGCACACATCTCTATAGCCTTTACGACAGTCCTAAGTCTATAATTTTTGTATGTCTCAAATTATTAAAAATAAATATTACTATTAGGAAAATAATTCTTGCATAAATTAGAAATTATCATAATTAAGATTCAAATCGGAGATAAACTTCTCTTGATTTTCTAAATTGATCAGGTAAAATGAAATACTATCTATTTTAAGTATATAGAAAACAAGTAATATGAAACAGAAGAAGCATGTTATTATTATTTTTGTCGTAAGATAAAAATATATACTTTATTTATTTGTCATAATCGATGTGTATATAGTTTTAAAAAATAATTACTATCAACGAATAAAATGGGAAAATACAATTAATTTTATCTTGAACTTCTAAAATGATTAGTATTTGAGATATTTTTATAATAAGGACGACAAGTATTTTTTAGACATAGGAAGTATAATGGTATTTTAAGGGAAGCAATGTACATTTTTGAAAAGTTGAAGGACTTAATGTGCTCATTTTTAAGAAGTTTATTTTTTTATTAAGACCTAATATACTATATATCTCTAGTTCAGTAACTACTAGTAAAATATATGTTGACCAAAAGATCAATAAAATATTAGAACATTATTAGGCCATATTAGACAACATAATTAATCATATCAAAAAGTTGCAAATCATGCACGTCATTTTTAAGATTTATCAAATCAGACAGCTTTTAATTAGAATCTCCAAAAAAATTTTAAAAAAATAATCAATTTTTTCTGATTAATGAATTGCAGCTGCCCATGTTGACCACATGTTGTAAACAAATTTAAATTCAACATTTTCCCATCTTTTAGTTGGCTAATTATTTTGGTTTTATTTTTGCAAGTTGTAGTGTGATGGATCTCTAAAATAGCAAGTCTTTTTTTTTTTTTAAAGTCCACACATATTATAATATAAAATAATAATAATATTTACACTGTTACACATTCTAATTATTGTCGGCAAGTGATTTGTTTGAGCAATTATTGTGTCATTAGAGCAAGGTTAATTAATTTGCTTGTTAAGTGTTGTACCATGTGCTTTAACTATTGTATCAATTACTGGTTTTATTCGGTACACATCTAAAGATTAATGCTCTTTGTTACATCAACATCAAGAATTAATTAAGACTATCAAATCGTCAAGTTCATGAAAGTAATCAGAACCTATAATAGTTTAAGTATTATATCAGACATGTAAAAAAAATCCTAAACGCAAATTAAAAAGTTTGTTATTGTATTTACTTTCAATGAGTTCGAGTTGAGATCTTTAATTATTATTTTTCAAACGTAAATCCTTGCTCCCAATTTTAACTCAAAAAAGAATTACATATAAGTTCTTGATATTATAATTTCTTTTTAAAAAAATATGCTATCTTTTGTACTATAGATGATGACCTGTTATTTTTTAATGTCTAAAATGTACAATTGATTTTTGTGGACTAACAAACAACCTTGTCAGACTATACTGTATAATATATCCCAATTAGTTACTAAACAATAATTGTTTTAAATTTATTTAAGCATATTCTTTGAGAGGTGTTGAAGAAGTGGAAAGTTCACGAGTGATACAGATTCAAAATATTAGTTAGTGGAACATCAACGTAGATTGTGATGAGATGATTCGAAATTTCTTAATTTTTAATTAGAAATTTTAGATTTTAGCTTGTAATAATGAAAAAAATTCGAATGAAAATGTTATTTTAGAAATGAATTCTATAATACACGATATTAAATTTAATCAAATTTCAATCATGATACCAAACATAGATCACAATCAAACAACAAAAAAGTTAGTAGAGCAAAAAAAAAAACATCACTAAAGCGTAAGAAAGAATAGTCCATTTTGGTAGTTCACGGAGTGTCGGTTTAGCCAAGTAGGCATGAAACTAAATAAAATTCAATATAAAAAAATATTTTCTTTTATAAATTTAAGTTAGTATATATTTTTAGTGTTATACACTTGTTATATACATCATCAATTATAAATTATTATGGTTAGGGCGTTAGGGGGTAAATTTTTCTTGCCGACTCGCTGAAAATGTTAAGATTCTTTTATAAAAACGTTAGCTTCAAGAGGCTTTACAGACGTGGATTTAACTTTGAAGTTATTGATTCACACGAATATGATAGTTTTAACACAAATCTTCTATTTGTATCAACAATCTATAACATCTATTTGTAAATTCAATTATTATTATATAGAAATTATAAACTTCAAATCTCGAATTCGTCT